TAGCTTTGCACTCATCTCCTGGTTCAGCGATTCTGCCTCAGCTCCAAAGTGCTAGTATTCTAATTTTATTGTGTTGCTAGTTGTTTGAGTTAGAGACGGTTTTCCACCAAATCCCCTTGGGTTGGTTTTTAGCCAGGATGATCTGATTTCCTGAATGTCCACCGCTCAGCCTCCCAAAGTGCTGATTACAGGGTCACCCACACGGACCTTCTTATATATGATTAAAAATTGCATTGTTATTTGTACTGTTCCTGTTTTTTCTTTTCTTTTTTTTTTTGTTTTTTTCTTGTTTTTAAGGAATTTCCCTCTGTTGCCCAGGCTGGAATGCAGTGGCATGATCCCGGCTCACTGCAACCTCTGCCTCCCAGGTTCAAGTGATTCTCATGCCTCAGCCTCCCCAGTAGCTGAAATTACAGGTGCGCACCACCATGCCTGGCTAATTTTTGTATTTTCAGTAGAGACAGGGTTTCACCATGTGGGTCAGGCTGGTCTGGAACTCCTGACCTTAGGTGATCCACCCACCTTGCCCTCCCAAAGTACGGGATTACAGGCATGAGCCATGGCACCTGGCCTGTTTCTTTTATAGTCATGTTCAAACAGTATTTATGTAGTATTCTGTTTCTTCCTTTATTACTTATTATTATAAGTATTTCCCCCATTTAATAAATAGACTCTTCATAATCCTTTTTAATGGCTAATAATCGTTCGTGTGGCTGTATTATTTACTTAACTAATTCCCTATTATTGTACACAGAAAGAATTGTCTTCCAGAAAATTCATTCCTGTGCTTTGCCTCTTAAATTAGCCTTGGTGTATGTGGCTAAGTCTCAGGAGTTTCTGGATACCAAAGGATAAGTATCTTCTTAGACTCAAAAATTGTTCACAAAATTGGAAGCAGAGATTCATCTAAAATGGACCCAATTCTGATATATTATGACATATAATTAGAAATGTGTATGAATTTTTATGATAAACCAGGAAAATAATTTTAAAAATTAAATGTGGTTGAAAACTATTTTGTGTATATATTTGTGAATTATAGATGCAACCTGTATGAATAGAACTGTGTAGGGTCTTTTGTGATACTTAATTTTACATCTTTTGTAGGTGTACAAAAGAAAGCAGTGTCGGTATGATTACATAAGAAAACAAAACCTTGCCTTGCTTTCACTGAAGGATTTCTAGAACTGTGTATCTGTACTTCTGCTCTATTTTAAGTATGTCTATCCTTCTATTGTATTTTAGATAATAAAACAAGAAACTCTTTCTTGTTCAGTACTTTGGCGTTGTTTTCCTTATTTTTTCTCTTTTTGCATTATTTGAAATGAGTTTTATTCCTTTTCTGTATCATTTTCTTTTTTATTGGAAACATGTTTTGTGTTTAAGAATTGATTTATAAAGGGGCTTTTATAACTTTTTTCCATATTATAAAATTTCATTCTGATTAAGAAGACAACATAAAATTTACCACGTTAACCAATTTTAAGTGTACAGTTCAGTAGTGTTAAACATATACACATCGTTGTAGAACAGATCTCCAGAACTTTTTCATCTTGCAAACTGAACCATACCCATGAAACAATAACTCTCCACTTCCACTTCTCCACTTATCAGCCACTTCCCTGGCCGGCCTCTGGTAATAACCATTCTGCTTTCTGTTTCTATGAGTGTACTTCATATAAATGGACTCACAATGTTGGTCTTCTTAATTCACTTAGCTTAATTCTGGCTTAATTCACTTAGCTTAATGTCCTCATCCATGTTGTAGCACATGACAAGATTTCCTTCCATTTTATAATATTCCATTGTGAATGTCTTCCACATTTTGCTATCTATTCACCTGTTGATGTAGAGTTGGGCTGCTTTCACCTCTTCACTGTCATGAATAATGCTGTTATGAACATGATATGGAAATGGAAATTCTGCTTTTAATTCTTTTGGATGTATATTCAGAGATGGAATTATTCAATCATATGGTGGTTCTATTTTTAATTTTTTGAGGAACTGACATACTGTTTTCCACAGTAGTATAACCCTTTTTTAAAAAGAGAGATATCACAGAAATATTCTGCTGGTAGAAGGTTCTGTTGGACCAACACTCTAGATTGACAAGGTCGGGAATTCACTTCCTCAGCTTCCATTGCTCCCATTCCTTCCCCTGACAAAGCCCTGGTTTTCTTTAGGTGTCCACTTTTCCTTCACAAGGCCCATGACTCAAAGGAATTTAACCTCATCGCCAGCTTTAGCAATGTATCTTGCTTACTCTTAACCACTCGTGGTAATCCCACCACTTTACCAGTGAATGGTTTTGAAACTCAGACTTCATTTATTTCATATATGACTTTCCCCTGGGGAGTGTTATTGGTAGAGGAGAGGGCATGTGACTTAAGTTGGCCCAGTCAGACTGAAGGGAAAGGTTTCTGTAGTATGGTTGGGTAAAAGGTTTTGTTTTTTTTCTGTAGTATATGAACAAAGAAACATGTATACCTATTTGCTGCTGAAAGCCCTTGCTTAACAGTTAGGGCCTTAATCTGGAGACAAACGTGATACACCCAAGAGAATATCAAAGAAATGGAATGGAGCCCTTATAGCATTGGGCCTGGAACCCTTCTGAGCTTGGGATGGTCTGTTAGTAAACTTCATTGTTTAAGCTAGTTTGAGCTGAGTTTTCTGTTACTTGCAGCCGAAAGCATCCTACCTGATACAGTTCTCCCCTGCTGTTCAGGACACTTGGGGGAAAGTTTTAGAATCATCTGTATTACACCTCTGAGGTCTAACAATAGCTCCTGCTACATTTCCTCTTTACATATTGGCTGGTCAATGTTGTCTTTCAACAACCAACCTGGGGATGTCACTCCTCAGGTATTTTTAAATTCTGAGAAAAGGTTTCCATTCCATTGCTGAAGGAGGGATAAGGAAAGGGATTATCTCTTCTTGCCAGGAGATAATATGTGACTAGATCTAATCTAGAAGAGTAGAGGTGTTGTACCTTGGTGGTAGCTTTGGAAGGGATAGAATGCAGGGCCACTGCTAGCCCATACAGTTATTTTATTTTAATTTTTTTAAAGCTTCTTCCCAAGACACTACTTTCACATGATGGCAAACTGTCATAATATATTAATCTTGTTAGAGCAAAACATTTTTCTTTCATTTGCCAGAAAATTTTCATAATGAGCATACAAAAGCTATCTAGGGTATAAATAGCTCTCTGTCAGATCTGCCACCACTGAAGATGGCACCCTATTAGAGAGAGACAGAACACAAAATGCAGAGCAGATGAGAAAGCTGCTGGAGATAGAGTCCATTTACTTTTAGTTCAGACATAATTTTAATAAGTAAACAAGTCAACTAGGAGATAAGTTTTTTAACTTTTTATTTTGAAATAACTTCAGACTTACAAAAAAGATGCAAAAAAAACCCATCAGCAAAGAAAGCATATAACAGTTCTCATATATTTTTCACCCTATATAATAATAGTACAATTATAAAAACCAGGAAATTAACTTTGATATCATACTATTAACTAATATACAGGCATTACTCAAATTTTACTAATTGTCACACTAGTGTTCTTTTTATGGTCCTAGATCCAATCCAGGATTATATATTGCACTTAGCGGTCACATTTTCTTAGTCTCTTTCAATCTAAGACATTCCTCATTTTTTCTTTGCCTTTCATGACACTGACCCTTGAAGAGAGAACTAACTAGTTGTTTTGTAGAATGCCGTGTAAGGTGGGTGTGTGGTGTCCTCAAGATTAAATTCAAGTTACACATTTTCAATAAGGATACCACGTTAAGTGATGCCGTGCTCTTCTCAGTGCATCATTTCCAGAATCACATGATGTTGGTATGTCTCATTACTAGTGATGTTAAGTTTGATTACTTGGTTATGGTGATGTGTGCCTGACTTCTCCACTATAAAGTTACTCTTATTCTCTTTGTAGTATCTCTAGGATCATGTGTGGAAATACTTTGAAAATATGCATATATTCTGTTTCTCATCATACTTTCCCCACTAGTTTTAGAAATGATTGATGATTCTTATCTACAACAATTATTATTGTGGTATTGGTCACATGGTGAGACCAAGATTTGAAATTTAGAATAAAGTGTGGAAAGAGTCCTCAGAAGTAGGTGTTAGACATCTTGCAAGCTGATGGTATAATATGGTGACCAGGAGCAGGAGTTTTGCTATCAGACAGATCCAAATTCAAATATTGGCTCCACTGTACAGTTGCTATGTAATCTTAAGTACATTATCTTCTCTGAGCATCAGTTCCCTATTAGTAGGGTAGGGATTATGAGTCTACATTATGGAGTTTTCATGATGAACATAGTGAATATAAAATATTTGGTACAATGTCTGGCAAATAGTAAATTATCAGTAAATTTTAGTTCTTATGACATGAAAATGATTGTTGTTATTGTAGCAACCTTCAGCATAAAGAAAACCCAAAGTTACTTTCTTAGCGTACTTACATAAAAAATACCCTTTCTCTTTTTTTTAATTTTTAACTTTTTATGAAGATTACCTAGGAAGAATATACTTCTGATGCACCAGCTAAATGGGCAAGAAACTAGATTGAATGTGCATGCATGTGCGCGCACACACACACATTATATGCCCAGCATTTTGAATAATATGACAAGGAAGAGAGACTAGCTGAGATGAAAGTCACCATATAAATAATATTTTGGATTATTGAGCCCTGTGACAGATACTGCTGGTTGTTTTTCTTTGTTTTGTTTTCTACCCAGTAGCCAAACTCTCATTGATAGTATTAAAACTGTGCCATCCAGGTGAATGGAAATGTACCCAGCTAAAAAAAAAAATTCCTAATTTCCCAAGTTCCCTTGCAACCAATGATGGCTAGTATGGCTGATAAGCAGAAGTCCACTAGGTGTGACTTTAAGAAAACTACTGAATTTTTATAAGGAAAGCATGCTCACCTGACCTATGTCATTTAACCTTCACTCTTCTCCCTTCTTCCTGCCTAGAACTCAGAAGCAATGCTTGTAGATGCAACAGCCACCTTCTTATCAAAGAGCTGAAAGTTCCACATTGAAGACAGCAGAGCAGGAAGATAAAAGCAGGCTGATTCCTTGAGCAGCTGTTAATTCTCTTTTTATAAGTGAGGAAACTGAGGATCAGGGACATTGATTATCCCTGGTCAGTTACTGCTTAAACCGCAGAGCTGGGGTTCAAATCCATGTTTATATTACCTCAAAGTTATTTATTTTTTTACTATATTTCAAAGTTTCCTAAAAGGATGAACATATTTAGAACCCTTTCTCCCCACATCTACAGATTGTGATGGCAAAGCAACCTGTGATGGACAAAACAAAGTATCCAATATCTTTGACTCAGAACTACAAATATTTCTTACATGTTCTCTTTATTAAATACTAACAACTCCAGCCTGATTAACAAAATGACCACGCAGTTCTCTGGCATTCATCTTCTATTCATGCCAGTAAAAAAAGGCTTCAGTGATAAGCAACTCGTGATGAGTGTCAGCAACAAGTAGTTGCCACCCAAAGAACACACACAAGAAAATGGCCTAACAGAGAGGTCACAAACAAAGGGATGATAAATGTGGATTGGTTACCATGTATGTTTACTAACTTGCTTGAGCTCATATAAATACCACTAATAATTAAGGTTTCTTGCTGCTCTTTTAACACTCTGGAGCTGAATTCTTAGGTGGCAACAATTAATCGGAGCTGCTCCCTCCCAGTACACCATCCCATTCTACGCTCCTTCTCTGACTCTAAGGTAGAATATTTGTTTCCATCTATCATCATGTTTGTTCTATTGTTTTTCTTGTAATAGAAAAATACTGTATCTCTATCAAGTATTTGATGTTTACCTAAAATAAAAATAGATGGCTAGAGCTGCCTGTTTCTTATACCTGGCCCACTAAGGCATTTCAGCTACCTGCCAGAAGGCATAGAATTTGAACAGACACTCAGATGTTTGCTTCCTAAATCTGTTTCCAGCTCATTCGCAGACTCCCATTTCACATACCTTACTTCAGCAAGCCTCCACAGCAACTACTGAAGTGAACATTATTATTCTCATTGGGATCCAAGAGGTTAGCTGATTTTTCTGAGATCTTGTTCTTGTGTAATAGCTGTGTTGTTAGAATTGTGATTGCTGTTTTGTTGATTTACAAAACTGTTATCTCTGAATATCTGTTTTGGGAAAACAGAAATGAGTAGGATAGGTAGACTAATGGACCTTTGTCTTACCTAACTTGGGACCTAACATTATCACTTCTTCATTACCTTCTTCCTTTCTTATAAGTTAGCTAACATTATTGTACACTATGTACCAGGCACTCTATTAATTGCTTTACATGCATTGATTAATTTAATCATAATAACACTCTGAAATATGTTGAAGGATAAGTTTTGTAAGAGGAATCATGATTCACACACAAATATAAAATAAGCATGTGTCTATGATTTTATGTCAATGACTAAATCAGTAAGATATTAAAATGAGGATCCAAAGAGCAGACAAAGTAACCCATCAGGAATGCTAAAATGAATTTACTTTATAGGTACAAAACTGATAGACAGCCACAGGACAATCATCAATGGCATACCACTAGTTCTTTGTGGGTTTTTAAATTTTGTTTTGTTTTAGAGATAAGGTCTCTCCCTGTTGCCCAGGCTGGTCTCTAACACCTGGATTTAAGGAATCCACCCACCTAAGCCTCCTGAGTGGCTGGGATTACAGGGTCGGGCCCCCACAATTTGCATTCCTTTGAATAAGAATTATTTGTATTACTCTGTTTTTTTGCAATTTATAGAGTCATAAAGTACCTCAAAGACAATGAAATGCAGAGAAAATCCAGAAGTATAAGCTAGATAGGACATCCAGTAATCTTTTTTTGTTCTCTTTTCAAAGTATCTCACAAATTTTCCTGAGTACTTTTATTGTTATTCCCCTTTTACAATTGAGGAAATTATTAAGTAAATTTTCCAAGGTCCCATAACCAGTAAGTGGTAGAAACATATGTGAACACAAGTCTAACTGAATCTGGAAAAATAATTCAGTTTATTGAATCAGTTTTCCTCTTGGAGGCGGAGCTTGCAGTGAGCCGAGATCGTGCCACTGCACTCCAGCCTGGGTGACAGAGCAAGACTCCGTCTCAAAAAAAAAAATCAACTCAAAGCAAGTTTAAGTAAGAAGAAAACCTTTTTTTCCTCTACAATTTTAGGTTCATTGGCTGGGGCCCTGCAAATTAGACTGACAAAAGACAGATTAACAAGAGAAAAACAAATTTATTTACACATTTATTTATTAACACTCATCAGTGATGCGTAACTCAAAGGGGTGGTTAGAACTTGGTGCTTATCTAGCATCTTCACAGAAGAACAAACCTAGAGAGAAGTGACAAGACAAAGGAAAGGGGCTTGCAGTTCGTAGGGGAACAAACTGTACGAAGGTGAATATATGGAAAAACTAATGGAAGAGAAATGTTGTTGTAGCAAGGTTTGTAATACAGATTTCTCTGGTGCCATTCTGGGCTGGTAAGAGTCTAGAGTTTGGTGATTAAGTATATCCTGCCCTACTTGGTAGAGAAGGTGAGGGCAGAGAGTTTTCCTTGTCTGCTTTTTCTTAACTGCCTGCAGCTCAGAATGAATCCCTGTACCACAATGGCATATTTTGGGTGGCATTCTCTCTATAGATACTATAAACTGGCAACCTGAATTCAGGCCAAGGAAATTTTTTTTACCAGCACAATGTTTAAGTGGTATAAATTACTTGTGCACTTTATTAATACCTATTGCTGTATAACAAATTACCTAGAAACTTAGTGGTTTCACCAGCCTGGCAACATAGCAAGACCCTGTCTCTACAAAAAAATAAAATATTAGCCAGGTGTGGTGGGACACACTTGTGGTCCCAGGTACTTGTGGGACTGCGGGGGGAGGATCACTTGAGCCCAGGAGATAGGGGGCTGCAATGAGCTATGAAGACACCACTGCATGCCAGCCTGTGTGAGAGAGTGAGACCCTGTCTCTAAAAAAATAATAATTTATAAATAAATAAAAATAAAAAACAGTGGTTTAAAATGACAATAAAAATCGATTTTCTCACAGTGTTGTAACTGGGTGGTGCTGGCTCAGGGTGTCCCATGAGGTTGCAGATGTGAAATTGGCTGGGAACTGAATAATACAGCAAATCCATGCGTGAGACGGCCTTGAGTTTCAGTTTTGGCTCTGCCACTTACTAGCCATGTGACCTATACAAGTACCTTAACCATTTTAAGCTCTTAATTTTCTCATTTGTAAAATGAGGATAACAGTAGAACTTACCTCGTAAGACTACTGTGAGCATTAAACGAAATAACATCATTAAATACTTAATATAGTGTGTTGTAGACAGAAGGCACGCAGTATATATTTTCATTGTTCACAGAGATTCTATCCTGTACAATGATTTGTTTATTTCCGTATACACCTCACAGGAAGGGAAGGTACTTGTGTTTTTCTTCAACTTACAAATCAGGAAACTGGCTGGGTGCAATGCCCCATGCCTGTAGTCCCAGCACTTTGGGAGGCCGAGGTGGGTGGATCACTTGAGGCCAGGAGTTCCATACCAGCCTGACCAACATGGCGAAACCCCTTCTCTACTAAAAATACAAAAATTAGTTGGGTGTGGTGGCGCATGCCTGTAATCCTAGCACTTTGGGAGGCCGAGGTGGGTGGATTACTTGAGGCCAGGAGTTCCAGACCAGCCTGACCAACATGGCGAAACCCCTTTTCCACTAAAAGTACAAAAATTAGCCAGGTGTGGTGGTGCATGCCTGTAATCCCAGCTACTTGGGAGGCTGAGGCAGGAGAATCTCTTGAACTGGGAGGTGGAGGTTGCAGTAAGTCGAGATCACACCACTGCACTTTAGCCTGGTGACAGAGTGAGACTCTGTCTCAAAAAAAAAAAAGAAAAGATTAAAAAAAAAGAAATCAGAAAAGAAAAGATTAAAAAAAAAGAAATCAGGAAACTGAGACTCAGGGCAGTTAAGGTACTTGCGCAAAGCAGCCACTTTTTAAGTGACTAAGGTAAGGCATGTCATCTGCACCAAGCTTAAGAGTTCTTGCCATTTGTGTCAGTCAGAGATCAGGAAGTAGAGACCACTGCAAATATTAATACATTGAATTATTACATTGACTTAATACATTGAATTATTTGCATACAATTCCACTTATTAAGGTTGGGGGAGTTCTGCTTTCGATATTTTGAGTAACTGGGAGCAATGTGTGGGCACTGCCACTCCACAACAACTAGATTCCAGACACAACACACTGTGTGAAGAATTTCTTATCTCAAGAAGGTTGGAAAGGTCTCTAGCAATGCTCCTAAGTTAGCAAATGAAAGCTGACCCCAGAGCAGGTAGAGGACAGCATCTGAGATACCTAGCAGTGGAGTTTTTGCAGAGTGAGATTATAAAATTCATTTTAGAAAATTAGAAATCATTTCACATGATCTTTTTTTTTTTGGAGGCAGAGTCTCACTCTGTCTCCCAGGCTGGAGTGCAGTGGCGCAATCTCAGCTCATTGCAAACCTATGCCCCCATTGTTCACAGAGATTCTATCCTGTACAATGATTAATTTTTGTATTTTTAGTAGAGACGGGGTTTCACCACGTTAGTCAGGCTGGTCTTGAACTCCTGACCTCTTGATCCACCCTCCTTGGCCTCCCAAAGTGCTGGGATTACAGGCATGAGCCACCGCACCTGGTGACATGAGTTTATAATATTGAACTTGCACATATCTTGGGATACTGCAGCTGCACTGCACTCCTGTATTGAGAAAGTCACTTTTACACATACATTGTAGAACCTCTTTCCAATAATGTTCACAGAAGCATTGTTGATAACACAACACTCGGATAAATGCTGATTAACTGTATATTGGGGTAAGAATTGTGGTTTGTGTAATGGAATATTATACTGTAGTAATGAATTTCAGCTATATGCAACACCATGGACACAATAATGGATCTGAATAATAGTGAGTGAAAAAGACAAATCCCAGAAGATGGCATAGTATGATACCATCTTTGTAAAGTACAGAAACAAAATTTAAACAATATTTTGTTTAGGATTACATACATATGAGATAAAACTGTAGAATAAAAGGAAGGGAACTCAGTATAGTGCTTATCTTTGAGGTGGGGTAGGAAGATGGGCTGAAGGAAGAGCACATAGACAGGACATATAAGTTATTGGCCATGTTTTGGTTATTGAGTTCAAGATGGGTGCATGGATGCTAATTATGGATGTTAATTGCATCATTATAAACACAGAAATAAAAATAAATAAATAGAAGTAGGAAATAAAAAATATATATTTTATTAGAAGGACTGAAAGACTAGGCTCTCAGTGGAGCTTCCAGAAGCCCTTACCTAATTGACCACATGGGGAATCCCTACATGGGAGACCAAGACAACTGAATTCAAGAACCCTCCATTGTATCTGTGAGCTAAATACTGGAAATCACAAAGCCACTGCAATTGCCACTAAATCTTGATACCCAGAAAGCTGAAAAATTGACACTGTGGGTTGTGCTGCAGAAAAAAATCTCTGCTTTTTATAATGCATTTACCAGTAGAAAGCAGCCAGAGGGTAAGATGGCCTTTGCCTCATTTCCTCCCTCCAGATTTCATTTGGGTAACTGGCAGAACCAAATTAGCAGACCCAACTTAGCCCCCAGAACTCTAGCAGCAAGGAGCCTAAGAAATAGTTTTAGCTTCCCAGCCTTGGAAGTATAGAAATGAATACTAGAAAGGTGAAATGGAAATTGAGCAAGCCAATTAATAGTATCTGTGGCAGAGAAAATGCTACGTTTTCATCAAACCTATTTCATTTTCTTCTTGGACATACAATTAAATTTCCCATTCTCCCATGATGTTAGTAGTGCCATGTGATAGACTCTAGCAAGTATACAGAAGTGATATGCTACTCACAGGCCTGGCTCCTGAAACATGCTGTGTGATCATGTTCTCTGTCCTCTCCTAGCTGCTAGCTGCATGTTGGTGAACCTTGGGAGTCATACACTAAAGATGGTGGGGCCTCTGTTAGCTTAGGCTCTGCTTGACTGAAGGGAGCAGAGTTCCCTCTCTCCACCCCACCCTCCTACATTGGACAGTAGAGTGGGAACTGAACTTTATGTGTGTACTGTGTTAAGCCACTGAGATCTGGAGATTGTTTTTATACAACTAGCACTACTATTATGACTAAAACCACAAATGGGACCTTGAAGTAGGTTGCTCCTAAAACAAAAACTTAAAATAGATGCCACTGGCTTAGCATACCAGTTGTGGGAAGAAAGGAAACTAATGCCAGAGGCAGAAAAGGCGGCAATCCATGCTATGCAGCAGTAAAACATTTGGCAAAAATTCTCGCTTATAGTAACTTAATAGAAAGGCCATATGTTTACTAATCTGTCAGCTCCAAGAGAGGCAGTTGGAAAGAACCAAACTGTTAGTGTGTATTGGCTACTACTGGCTGGCGAGTATAGGCATGTACAAAGAGAAATGAAAGAAAATAAGAAAGTTACATAAATTTGGAGTCTTAAAGTAGATTACTACTTCTAGATCCCAAATAGAAGGAAATGAGATTGGGCAAACTCTGAGAAACCAAGGCCTGCGAGGTCACTGCCTATGGCAAAGATCACATTAAAGTTGTGGCCTTCCCACTCGGTCCTAACGGAATCAAGGTGGCTGCCAATAGGTAGGCTGTCTCTTGGGAGAGGCATGGGAAAAAAGACATAAAGAAGATGAAGAGCTATGTCAGGAAAGGATTTGGGATGTTGTTTGTGGCACAGGATCTGTCTAGAAAGAAGTCAATGAGAAGCCTGTTAAGTTTCTGAGGAAATTTTATTTCCAAAGAAAGCGTAAGTCTGGGACAAAGAATAGTCAAGGCATAAAACAACAACCACCCTTGGGCTCTCAGCTTTCCATGAGAAGGAAGCTGACTCCAAAATCTGCGTAGCCCAGAGATAGCTTACTCCCTATCACCCACTTCAGATATCACCACAGAGGATAATGGCAATGAAGAGAATTCCCAAAGAGTGGAGCCAGGGATCACAGAAAAAAATGGGCAAAATAATTTCTGCCATAGAACAGAAACAGTCCAAGTAAATTTCCTAATGCTTCTTGGTTAGTGAAACTTCACAGTGCCTACCAGCCTGCTCTAGACAAGTGACGGCTTTGTGTCTTTGATCTTTCCCCTTTCCAAATGAGACACTGCAGTTCTTTTGTCTCTGCTTACTATTGTATATTTGGCGATGGGAAAGGAGCAGGAGATAGAAAGCTCTTCTTTTTAGTTTATGAATTGCTCAACCAGAAAGAACCACATCTATACCAGATGGACATGAGTCCCAGGGCTTTTAGCTGAACACAATGACTGGGAATAATCTCCAGGAGAGTTTGGTGGGGGAGTGTACTCTATTTATGAGATGAAGAATAAAATAAAAATTTATTGACCAAAAGGGCAAGCTGTGGTAGAGACTGGTCATATGTTCTCCAAAATCATTTCCTCCTAAGCACTAGAACTACATTTCTCAGCCTCTCCTACAATTAGGGACCATGTGATTGAGTTCTGGCCAATTAGATGTACGAAAGGTTGCTGTATGATACTTCCAGACCTGCTCCCAAACACATCCCACACAATCCTCTATGCTCTCTTTTGCTCCTCACCTGCTAGCTAGATGTCAGCACGTAAGGTCCCTAAATAACTGCATGGTGCAGAAACCCTCAGCTGACCACACTGAACAGTTTGTGAGCAACTAATAAATCTCTTACTATACTAATTTAATATGAAAAATTATACAAGAGAAAATGGCCAGCTAAATACTTATTTAAGATTCCAGACCTACAAATGTCTTATTTCAGCTATTAGATGATTGCAGGTCAGCCTATTTGAAAAATACATTTTCATTTTATAACAGTTGCATTTCTGACACAAATATACCCACTCATATTAGAATAATGGATGTCATATCTAAATGTGCCTAAGGGTTAGACCAGAAAGGGATGCCAAGTGAAGTGGTTAAAGCCTTAAAACTATTCTCAGGTATGGTCCTAGTTTTAATCCTGATATTTGGATCTGTGGCTCCACCCAAATCTCATATGGAATTGTAATCCCCAATGTTGGAGGTGGGGGCCTGGTGGGAGGTGATTGGATCATGGAGGTGGATCTGTCGTGAATGGTTTAGCACCATCACCTTGGTGTTGCTGTTGTGATAGTGAGTTCTCACAATATCTGGCTGTTTGAAAGCATGTAGCACCTTCCCCTTCTCTCTCTCTTCCTCCTTTTCTGGCCATGTGAAGTGCTGCCTCTCCCTTCACCTTCCGCCATGACTAAGTTCCCTGAGGCTTCCCCGGAAGCTGATGCCACTGTGCTTCCTGTATAGCCTGTGAAACCATGAATCAGTTAAACCTCTTTTCTTTATAAATTACCCAGTCTCAAGTATTTCTTTATAGTAGTGTGAGAACAGACTAATAAACATCCTGAGTCAGCATTATAAATGGTCTATCATTCAAGGTTCAGCCAGGAGAACAGAAACCACCCTGGGTATTCAGGGGACAGGGAATGTGATGTAGGAAGAAGCAGACAAGCTAATTAGATGACAGCAACCCAGACATTAGCAACAGCAGGAAGCTGTTGGTCTGGCAAGGGAAGGGGTAAAGGTGGTATAATCAGAGCCCAGGAGTTAGGAAGGCAGAGTCAGAGCAGACATGTCCTGTAGGTGCTAGAGACTCCAGAAGAGGGGCAGCAGCTGTTGGCGATGCTGTCCAAAGCAGTGAGGGAAGGAGAGAAAAACTTTGCTATTCTCTCACCAGTGACTCTCACTGGCTAACGCCAACTGGAAGACAGCTGGCACTGGACCCTGAGAAACACAGCCTGCCGGAGTCAGCTCTCCTTCCTTACAGAGCAGGGTACACTGAGGACAGGCAAAGGGTCTGTGCACACATTCAGCTTAAGACCAGCAGAAACTGGTGAAGACAGTAAGACATTCTATTAAGTAATATCAAAGCTCAAGTATTAGAGCAACTTAAAAGAGCATTACAATCAAAAGTGGGGTATTTTACATTTTTATTGCATTTTAGAGGTCCTGTTCTAGTTTGGAGATTTAAGTTACCACTTTTTTTTCATTTTTATTCTAGGTCATGGAAGACCCAGCATGTGGGGGAAACTTCTTTATTCTGCTATCCAAATATAAAATCTATACAGAAGTAGCTCCTTTGTCCCTTAACCTTAGTAAGCAAATTTGATTAAGCATTTGAAAGCTATAGAGGTGCAAGGTGGGAGAAATTCTGCCTCTGCTACTTGGCAGCTCTATGATATTGGGCAAACCACTCATACCACATTTATTTTCCTTATATCCAAAATGGACATAATAATACCTTCTTACTTATCTCACTGGGTTATTGGAATGATCATAGTGTTTGGGTGGTTGGTTGTTTCTAGGAGGTAATAATGTATGTGAAAATAATTGGTATATGGAAAAGGATTAAATACTAGTGCTGAAACATTATACATATTAACATGCCTTTAAATCTGTCTCCCTACCATTCCATCATTTATTTTCGGAGTCAGTTTTACTGAGATACAATTAATGTATTAATGTAAGTGTACAGCTCAATGAGTTTTGACAAATGTATACAGATATATAACTACTACCACAATCATAATATAGAATATATCAGTGGCCCCCCAAATTTCCTCATGCCCCTTTGCATTTTTATACTTTAAAAGTCAATATATACCCGAGTGATTAAAATATACCTTCCCAAAAACTTGTGCATAAATATTCTTAGTAGCATTATGTATGATAGCCCCCAAGTGGAAACAACCCAAATAGCCATCAACTGATAAATGGATAAATAAAATGTATATCCATGCAGTGGAATATAATTCGGCCATGAAAGGAATGAAGTACCAATGTCTGCTACAACATGGATGAACCTTGAAAACATTATGTTAAGTAAAAGAAGCCAGTCACAAAAGACCACACATTGTATGACTCCGTTTTTAATGAAAGGTCTAGAAGAGGCAAATCTATAGAGACAGAAAGTAGTGTTTGCCTCATATTGGGGGCTAGGGAATAATGATGAATGACTGCTAATGGATGTGGAATTTCTTTTGGGGGTAATGAAAATGTTCTAAAATTGATTGTGGTGATGGTTGCAAAACTCTGAATATAATAAAACCATTGAATTAATGCCATTTAAATGCGTGAATTGTATGTTACATGTGTTATATCTCCATTAAGGTGTTAATTTAAAAAGTTAAAGAATTAAAATCTAAAACAAAGGCAAAATTTCAAATACAATATTTCATAATTTTGCTATACTAATTTTCTCTTCAAAGTTATGAGATAGTCATGAAGATTTTTATCTACAATCTTAATATCCTAAGAATCAAACTATTTTGATTATTTTTTGTCCCCTCCTCACCTCATTTTTGAATATATTTGCTTGGTTTGTAGTCATAATGGTATAAACATGATTAGGGTGCTTTTGTCAGTTAACATTAGATCATGAACATTTTCCTACAGTGTAATGAAGCCTTTTTAATAATCATTTTAGAGATCATATGACATTCCCTCTAACTTACCACTTTCCTCCATCTTCTCAGGCACCCAAGCCAGAAACCTGAGTTATGCCTAAGTTTCTCCTGCCACTGATTTAGTTCAGAGCATACTCTCTCATCTAGATCACTGCAAATGTTTCTTTACTGGTGCCCTTGCTTTTTGGTGGGCTTCTATCAATCTGTCAAACAGCATGCAGCAGCTACACATCATGTAGCAGCCAGGCCTAAAACATGTTTCTTCAATGACTCCCAACCAACTACCCATTGGAGGCCAAACCGCTTCTAATAGTTCACACAGCCCTTGGAATATGGGCTCTTTGCCTGTACTTTGAGCCTCATCACTGTCCTCCCCATTCCCTCTCCAGTACATATTTCCTGTGTTCCCTGAAAAGCACACAGTGTAGTGTATTATCTGCCCAGAATAACTCTGCCACTCCTCCTTCTGCTATTTACTTGGCAAGCTCCTACTCACCCTTTAACATTGGGTGTAAACATCACCTCCTATGGGAAGCATCTCCTCTTCTCCACAGAAAAAGGGAGGTGCTCCCACATCCACACTCCTAGATGTCTTTGTACATGTCTCCATTTTGTTCTGTACTTCCCATGCATGCTTCATGCTTATCTTTCTCACCAGAGTAGAAATTATGGTCTGTTCAACTTGGTATTTCCAGCACTTCAGCATCTGGCACATAGTAGGTTCCAGTAAATGTTATTTCAATAATTTAATAATTACTAGTAATTCAGCACTGTTTTCCAGCCACTGTTCACATTGCTTTTCACATATTATCTCACTTAGTCTTCTAAACAATCCCATAATGTAGATACTATTATCATCACTATTTTAAAGATGAGAAAACTGAGGCACAGCTTAGGTAACTTGCCCCAAATCATCGCACAGCTAGGAAGTGAGTGGCACCACCAGCATGTGAACTCATGTAGTGTGATTCTAACTCTGGAGTTCATGTTCATAGTAACTACACTACATAAAAAAACTTGAACGTATAATCCATTATCTTATTGCCTAATACATAAGCTACTTGTACTCTATCTGTCTCCTCCCAATCACCCCACCTTTCTTCTTTCGACTTTTTTGAATTTGGCTTAAGATAAATTCCCAGGAGTAGAGCTTAAAGATGTATTTACAAGATGAGGACATTTTTCTGGATCTTCATATGTCCAATGAGAACTTTACTTAACATAATATAGTACATGCCAAAGAAGTGAAAGTTTCAAGGCCATCACCCATCCCAGGCTGATATGGTATGATCGGGCAAGTTGGATCAAGAACTCTGAAGACAGCTGCAGAACCAGTGCAGGAAGGTGCAGACTGCTGTGAACTAGCCTTGGCCAGCAGTTGGCCTAGCTTCACAATACAGCTTTTAATCTAATTTTAGGATGAAAGAATGGAAAGCCCTTCTATGTTGCTGCTGCTTCAAAATGCTCAAATATTGATTTAGTGGTTAAACTGCAGCACCAGTTTTCACAATAACATTTTTATGCCATAAAATAGATTAATCTATGCAGTATGACTGTACATTGTTGAAGCTGGCCACCGTGTAAGTCTGGCTATCCTGAAATTGCTATGCTACTAGGAAGCCCAAGCTACCTGAGCAGAGATACCATGTGGAGAGAATGATGACCAGCTAGCCTAAGCTGCCCAGTCATTTCAACCTAGATGCCAGGCATGGAAATGATGAAGCCACCTTGTACATTTCAGCTTCAGTAGCTATGATGTGGAGAAAACCGTGAAACCCAACTGATAGCCAGAATTAAGGCCTCAGTATTTGCCTTAGTTCGTTCGGAGCGCTATAACAAAATACCATAGACTGGGTGGCTTACAAACTCACAGTCCTGGAAGTTGAAAGTCGAAGATCAGGTTGCCAGCATAATCGGGTTTTGATGGGAGTCCTCTTCTTTCTAAGCTGCAGATTGGTGACTTCTCCCTGTGTCCTCACATGGTGGAAGGAGGAGGATCTCTCTGGGGTTTCTTTTATAAGGACACTAATCCCATTCACAAGGGCTCCACCCTTACGACCTAATCACCTCCCAAATGCTCCATATCCTGATACCATTTTGGGGGTGAGGATTCTAACGTGAATTTTGGGGGGCACAATCAAACCATAGCAGATACATGGTCCCAGTTAAATGACTCCAACCATTTATATCCTTTTGAGTCATCTCAATCATCCCAGTCATCATGGAACAAACATAAGCTATTCCTTTTGAGCCCTGTTTGAATTCCAGACCCATAAAGTAGGGAGTATAATAAATGTTGTTTAATGCCACTAAAAAATAAAATAAGTTCTACTCCTATCCTAGCTACAGAATTTGTTACTATGTTACAAAGCAGTTGCTCACCAGTGGCACTGACTTTGATCCAGTCACTTGTATGACCTCTCCAGAGCCGCAGCAAGGATGGCAGCTGAAGGCTTATCCTGGCAGTCTTCTTCAGCTGCTGCAACCCAAAGGACCACAAGTGATCTATGAAAACTGGTGTTTCTCCAACTGCCAGAGGGTGCTCTAGCCATTCAGGATGTTTGCCGGATACCCCAAACTACCAGCCTGTCTGGGATGGTGATGAGAGCTCTGGCTCTAATAGTAGCTTAATTTGGGTTCAAATCCCAGCTCTACCACCTAAATTAGTTGCATGATTCCAGGCAGCTTAGTGAACTCGGGGTACCTGAATTTCCTCATCTTTAAAATGAGGATAACAACATATAACATTGTAAGTTTGTAATTAGGGTTAAATGAGCCTTACTTACTTAGCATTTTAAAATAATGAGAGTGCCTGTAGTCCCAGCTACTTGACATGCTGAGGCAGGAGGATCACTTGGGTCCAGGAGTTCGAGGCTGCAGTGGCACCACTGCACCCCAGTGTGAGTAACAGAGTGAGATCCTGCCTCTATAAAAAAAATAAAAGTAATGATAGCTAATGTTTACTGAGTGTCTCACAAATGACTTTATATTCCTTATCACTATCCTCAATACAATATTATGCTGATGGCTTCCAAATGTATACTGATTGTTCAGGCCTCTCATTATCTCCAGTTTCACATAATTAATTGTCTAATTGACCTAGTCACGGGGATATCCAGTTGACACTTGATGGTTACCTTTTCTATTTTGCTGCTAAAACCTGAAAACAAGGAATCATCCTTGACTTCTCCGTTTTCTTAATTTTCCACATTCATTTAATAATTTGTTAATTTTACTTCCAAAATAGATTTCAAAACTGTTCACTTCTGTCCATCTCCCATCATTTCTCCTCTGAATAGCTGCCTCCTCTCTGGTCTCTCTATGCTTTCCCTTTAGCCCCTGCCCCAGTCCATATGGAGCAGCCTGAGTTATTTTTCTAAACATAAATCAATTTCTGTCATCTGTCTGCTTTCATAACTGTCAGCAGTTTCTTGTAATGCTTTGGATGAAATCCAGACTGCCTACCATGGACCACAGTGTCCCAAGCCTTCAAGCCTCTGCCTACCCTTAACCTGATCTCACCCCACTCATCTTCCTCATGATGCTCCAGTCACATGGGCCTTCTGCACGTTTCCAGTTCCTTCCTATCCCTTTTGACTGTGGTGTCATCTAGCTTGCTCTTCACCTCGATAGCTTCTTTTCATATTTTGTATTTTAGCTGTGTCAGTTATGAACAGCCTTGCCTGCAAATAAAATAAATCCCATCTAAGAGTGGTTTAAACACAGGAAAGTTTGTCTGTTTCTTATACAATTTCCAGAAGTAAGCATCCTAGGGCTGGCACAGCAGCTCCATGAGACCATAGGGACTTAGCTTCTTCCTACCTTTCAGTTTTATCATCCTTCATGTATTGACCTCATGTCGTAGTCTGTTTTCTGCTGGTATAACAGACTACCACAGACTGGGTAATTTATGAAGCAAAGAAATTTATTTCTCACAGTTTTGGAGGCTGGGAAGTACAAGAGCATACACCAGCATCTGGTGAGGGCCTTTGTGCTGTGTCATAACATGGCAGAAGGGCAAATGAGCACATGAGACAGAGCACGAGGGGTAGACTCCCTTTTATGACAACCCCTCTCTCATAACTAAGCTACTCCTATGATAATATTAATCCATCCGTGAGAGCAGTAGGCCCCAACTCCCAACACTGTTGCATTGGGGATTAAGCTTTCAACACATAAACTTGTAGGGGATACAGTCAAATCATATAGCCTCATAGGTCTGACTTCATACTTGCTGCCTCATGATCACAAGACAGCTGCTGCACTGTTAAAGCAGAAGGGGGAAAGCAAAGGGGTAAAACCCACTTTTGATTTAACTTTGTATTATGCAGGATTGCAAATATAAAAACCATAGAATAGTATAGAAAGCCCCCCATGGATATACCACACACTACAATAATTATCAACTTGTGGCCAATCTTGCTTTATCTATTATCCACCCCCACTTGACTCTCCCTCTCTTCTTATTATTATGAAGGAAAATCTAGACATTCTATCATTGTTTTCCAAAGTATTTCACTATGTATTCTAAAAGATAAAGCTTTCCCTTTTTCAGCATACTATTGTCACACAAAAAATAGCAATTCCTGGCCAGGCGCAGTGGCTCACGCCTGTAATCCCAGGTGGGAGGCCAAGGTGGGTGGATCACCTGAGGTCAG